AGCTCTTAACACCTTTTTCCTCTCAATGAGACTCCTTCCAGTTTGTCTACCTGCTATTAAAGGAGGCGCCCAGAAGTAGCACACTCAAAAGAATAATCAATATCCAGCTCTTCAGCACAGCACTCCTCTGCCACTCATCCATTGAAGCCAGGACTCTATTCACTCCTTGACACAGCATTTAGAGAACGGTACTGCATGCTGTAAAGCTCGTCATGTCTCGTACACAGGTGAAGAGACTGGAAAAATCTCTGGATTTAAAATCACTAGGAGATCCAAAAGGCTGCCTTAACCCATGCAGCTCCCTTGGTTTGGCTCAGCCAGGGCAAATCCACTCCTTCAAACGCAGCCTGAGGTGACTCACTGCACAGCTCCCAAAGCCCTGTCATGTTCAATTCTAGTGTAATGCTAAAACACTGCTCCAGGCACACATAATGAATAAACTTATAAAAGTTAAGTCCCAATCCAAAACAGACCAGCTATTACACCATGGGATATGGAAAGACAGACTAGATTTAACTTCAGAATAACCGTTTTCTCCAAGAATTTTGGCTCCTGCTCATCCAGAGTCAGAGTAACTTCCTGTTCAAATATTACCCAAAATTTACCAGACTTTTAAAGATGTGAAGCCAGCTTGAAAAAACTATACATGCAAATAGGCAATAAAAACATCTGTTATATTTTTTAACCAAATTTCTAAAAGAATTAAAAAGGACTCTTGGTATAAGCCCCATATACCACTGACATAAATGTAAATGGCATTGTCATCCTAAAATTAAAAACCAAATGTAAATTTAACTAAAATCTTAGCAATAATGTAATGTTAAATTGCATGAGGTTATTTTGAACCTGCCATATTAACTGCCAAACAGTTATTCCACATAATTTTGAAGATATCACTCCAAAATAATTTGCAAGATTTCAATTAAATTAAAGGTGAGAACGTTATCATTCATCACCACAGAGAAGCACTAACCTCTCAGAAATAGTTCCTATTTAAAGAAAAACAAAACCTTCAACCCAACGAGCAACAGAAAAAGACAATTAGTCTACATTTATAATGAACCAAAAGACAAAGGTATACAAGTAATGCCTAGAAAAACATAATCTCACAAGTTTTTTCTGTTTTGGGCAATGATCCATCATGTTTCAAAATATGTTATAATCCCGGACAAAATACAAATGGGCCCAGCAGCAAAATCTAATTCTTAGCTTTTAACCGGTGAAAACACTTTCATATTCCTAGATAGGAGATGAAAGAGCATCCAAAATAACATCAGGTTAACTTTGGCAGCATACCACACTACCCACCTCCAGGAAAATAAATCTGCCCAAGAGGCAAAGAATTCTAGGTTTTCTTAACTAGACTCTCAAAGAGGGCTCCTCCCAGTTTCAGTGCACAATAGCCAACATAGCCTTGTTATTGCAAGAATTTGGTGTTATTTCGAAGTCCAAATGCAACATTTTTTTTTCTTTTGCCATGGCACCCTGGAATAACTTTTTAAAACTCGCCTCACACATCCGCAGTGCTGCGTGGGTGCAGACCTTGCTAATACCTATTGCAAGAGCAGGTGCATCTGGAAGAATTTGTGTGTTTCCATGTAGCTAGAGGTTTTATCTGCTGCATATATTATGCCAGGCCAGTGCTGAACACAATCAGAGCTTAGAATCACAGGGCATTTTTTTAGCAACAATGCAGTTTCAAGTGCTTCCACCAAAACATAAATGCAATGACAAACTTCCACTTGGTTTACATCTGCAGCCCAGCATAACTCGTCCCATTCTTCAGATGACCATCATAAGTTGTCAATGGCAAATTTTGCTTATTTTGTCAGCAAGAGCAGCAGCATCTGCTATTTGGTAGGCTCAATCAGGAGCAAAACAGCTGGGAGCAACACAGCTCCCTGAAGCACCAGAACAGGCAGCTCCAGCAACTCCTAGAGCTGTCACATAGCTAAATTGCTTTATTCCCTGCTGCTTTCAGTTAACATTTTTTATGTATGCATCTTAAGGCACAAACAGACACTTGGAACCTTGGCGATCAAACCCTCCCACCCGCTGCACAGTCTTGGACTCTGCTGATGGAGCCTTACCATCAGCTGTGCAGGCAGCTTCCTGCAGACTCAGGGGCCGTTTACGGGCAAGTCTCCATCTCTCCCATCCTGTCTGGGTCTTTTTTCCCCCCCCCTTTTGGTGGTGTTGGTTGCTTGACTGCAGTTGTGCTTGGGAAACAAATAATACAACTCTCATTCAGGAAACTTTAAAGTAATTCGAAGTAGGCATCAAATAATTTCCTCATGTGTTTTTGCAGTTTACTTTCTTATACAGCCACAAAGTAGGATATTCAACTTCATCTATGGAAACACTCTGTTCATTGGTCTTCTGCATTAGTTCAGTGATGTAAGTGTGAGCAGAGTTATAACCAAGCAGCAGTGGGAAAATAGAGCAAAGTCTGGCGTTGCCGACTTTTTGTTGCTGCCATCCTGCTGGCTCACACATCGCGGCACGGTCCAACACCACCCCCATAAACAGCAGCAGGAAAAAAAAAACCTATTCCTGAAAGCCTCCGGTTTACAGACAGACAGAAGACACTGAAAACATATAAAAGCCACAGCAAAAAGCAATCCCAAGCCGATACAGCACAGATCTGTGCAAAGAGCCTGTCACTCTCCTCCAGGCAGCATTTACACACAGCAGTGCACCATACCCATACCGGCAGCAGCCGCACACTGATGCCTTTCTCCAGAGCTGCTGGTAGAAGCCACGGTCCATCAATTTAACCAGCCTTTTTTGGTAAGAGCCCCCATTTTGTCTTACAGTGGTCTGAAGTGAAATATAATGTTTCCTGATTTAAAAAAAAATAATAATAAAAATCACCCATTAATTTTTTTTTAAGCTATCGTGCTTTTTAACAAGAAAAAATGGTTGCACTTAGACCACTTCCACTTTATTTTCCCAGAGCTTTTCCCTCTAAATTTTTATTTAACAACTCTATTTCAAAACCAGGAATCTCTGGAAGTTCAGTCCTATTATCCCCAGAGCCCTATCTTCACTTCAAGTAGACTTTTCTTAGCCTGTAGCAACAGGCTCAAGTCAAACAGATGAACACGGAAGACACTTGATGATCTCAAACTAAACCTGGCAACTCCACCCTGTATTATATTTACTAATATTTTTCACTTGAGTTAATTAGTGGGATTCAAATGAGACCTCAGCAGCAACATTCCCAACACCACAAACCACAGTAGTGATGTTTCACATGCTTCACCTGGAAACACACCAAAACATACTACTCTGGGCTTTCCAGAGCCTCAAGCTCTCCCAACACTGCAAGGTGCCGCCAGTTCTCAGGTACAATGAGCTGCCTCTCCTGATGCTACTTTCCACTAGGATTTCCCTACAAATCACTAAATAAATTAGGATGTGCTTTATTTTTGCCTCTTGTTTTCTGATGCCATTCTTATTACATGTTTTCAATAACCTATCTTAATCCACGGGATTTTTTTCCCCCATGAATCCTGAAATTCTTCCATAATTAGGATCACTTAAAAGCTGGGCTTTAGAATACCAAGTAACACAGCATTGACAACAAAAATCACAAAACCTGATACTGCAAGATCTAGGTGGCTCAGTATGATATCAATACCACAGCACATCAGGTGCTACACCACCACACAGTCATTATTTTGAAGAAATATGTGACAATGTCCTCACTGAAGGAAGCAAAGGATTATCTCATTTCTCCTAAACCTTTCAGGAAACCAGAGGCAGGAAATAGCGTTTTAATTTTTCCATCACAGTTTCCCACAGAAGATGAGGCAAATCGAGAAGTGAAACTATACACAAGTTCATTGTCCTTCTCCTCTTTAAATAAAAAATTAATTACTGAGGGTGGCAAAGGCAAAGAAAAGAAAGCAGATTTTCAAATGAGAGCCCATGGTGACAGGACATCTGATCAGACAGTTGTTTGGATGTTAGCAAGTGGTCTTTTCACTAAAGGACTCTGATCAAACCCAGATAAAGTTTCTGTGACAAGTTTAAGGACAAGCTTTAGCCATTCCACAGACTACTGGTTTTATTCTTGTTGAGGCAAAGATCAGAAACAGTTAATTACTCTGATCAGGAGGATAGTCTCATCTCTAGGAAAATCCCATTTGCTCATCCTCCTGATCATTCCAGCTTCTTTAAGCACATCTCTGCACAGACCATCAATACTGTACCCTGACAGCAGGGCCCCAAAATAGGACTCTTTTCCCACCTTCAAAAGCTGGCTCTTCTCCCCTTGAAAGACTGCAAAGAAAACTTCACAAATATCTGAATCTCTAAGTGGTTCCTGAGAGAGTGGCATCTGCCAAAACCAAAGATGACATGGAGGTCATCGAAGAAGACAAGATCCCACTCCTGGTCACGCAGGCAGGTAACTGAGGGGTAAAGATAGTACAGGTACTCCTCACTTTTGCTAACTCCAGATGCTAATGATAGTCCTCACTTCCCCAAAAGGCTTAACAACCATTAGTAGGAACCTAATTACAAGTTCAATTTCCAGCTCATTAACTAGCTCATTAATTCTAAGACCAGGTCTTAAAACCCTTTCTTGACCGCCTTCTGCGAAAGCAATGGCACTTGGATGCCAAGAACGCCAAGGGCCACGGACTCTTCCCAACCTTGCTCCTAGTTGGGGATGTCAAGCCTGATGAGCGCGCCGGCTAACTCGGGGCCAGTGTTACCTCCTCAAACCGAGATCTGACCCTGTCCAGCCCCGCTCCAGCACACTCCCCCTTCTCTGCAGCTGAGGAGCAATCCTCAAAAAGTCGTTCGATCTCTTCCCAAGAAGTCGCCTTCACGTCATCCCGCACCACCTCACCTCACCAACGCCCTCCCGCCACCTCCTCTCAGGTACGAGCCACACCTCCGCCCCGGCTGCCCGCTCACCCTCAGCTCCTCACGGGGAGAAGGGGGCGCCGGTCGCGACACGGCGGTGGCTCCTCCCGAGCCCGCCCTACCTTCCTGCGGCGGCCGCCCGGGGGCTGCAGGGCGCAGCAGGCGGGCGCGGCGCTCCCCCGCCGCCCGCTCCGCACGTAGGTGACCCGCCGCCTGCCCCCCAGCGCCGCCGCCGCGCCCGGGCGCTGCTCCGCGCCGCGGGGCGGGGGGGGCGCCCGCCCCGCCGCCACCGCCCGCTCCCGGGGCTTCTCCTCCGGACACCAGGATCGCCTCATGCCCAGCTGGAGGCAGAGGAAGAGCGCCGCGGAGAGCAGGCAGAGGCGGAAAGCCGGGCCCCGCCAGAGCGGCCGCTCCTTGGGCATGGCGGCGGGGGCTGCCCTGCCCGGCGCGGCCGCCCCCCCGCCCCGCCGCAGGGCTCATGCCGCCGGCGGGCCGGGCCCCGCGGCCGCCGCCGCCGAAACTTGGGAGACCCCGCCCCGAGCGGGGCCGGCCGGGGAGGGGCCGGGGTGCCCCTGTCCCGGCCCAGCGGGGGCTGCGGGGCACAGGGGTGTTCGGCATCGGACGGCCCGCGGGATGCTCCGCGCCCCGGCGGGGGCAGCGCCCGGGTACCGAACGCGGGGCCGTGCCGCTAAGGAGCCACAGGTGCGGGTCGCTGGTACGTGCACCCGGGCCTGACAGAGGACAGAACCCCCCGACCTAACTGTTATATCGCCCATCTCTATAGCATGGAAGTGTGCTAACTTATCAACGTTTGTATTATTTCAGATTATACACATTATGTAATGTCATGAAGTAGTGGAATTTTACTGGAGACTTGGGTATTGTTCATGGCTAAGTCAAACAAAAGGACAGCCCAGGCCTGGAAACAAGGACTTTGCTTCTTGGAAGGTTAGAGATATCCATGAAGGATAAAGGATAACCCTGAACATCCAAGATAGCATTAGCATCCTAACCCTTCTGATATGTCTTTGAAACCTTCCCAGTATCATTTGGCAGTACATATAATAATTCCAGCAAGGCTGACTCCAGGGACATCTGGACCAATAGACAAGCAGCCAGAATGCTGCAAAACCAGAGCTACTTTTCAAAGTTCTACTCTGATTAGTAACCAGTGGTGTGTCTATTAGTGATTAGTCACATTGTGTTGGACCTGAACTTTTGAAGGGTATGAGAACCCTGCGTGAAACATCAGCTGTGGTGCCCTAATTTGGCTGCAACTCCTCGTGCTCATGAGTAACTCTTCTAAGTCTATACTTTGCATCTTAGCTTCTTTCCTGGGTTATTACAGGCCAGCTGCTGATTTTTATGACACATCCTTGGTTTCATGCATGAAAGAAAGGACCTGCATGAGCTGAGCAAGGCTGAGAGGTAGTGCAGGGAACAGGTGTCCCCCTCACCTCTGTGGGAGCACTGGAGGCCCCGCATTTGTTTCACAAGGGAGACACACTAGACAGAATTATAAAGTGCAGAGGCTGGCTTTTGTCTTAAGCAACAATGCTAAACCATTGCTGAGTGATGAGCAAGTCGCAGTGCTTGGTGGGATTTTTTGAAGCAGGACCTGCAGATGGGGAGAAGTGTCCATGGCAGGAGGCAAGCTCTGTGTGAACAGAGAGGGAGGAGATGGCAGCCAATTTGCAGTACATGCTGCTTGGTTAGTAATAAATGTATTCCTGGGTGGGATGTGCTGGACATGAGTCCAAAACTAATCCCCATTTCTTTGCCAAGTAGGGGAGAGAGTCTGTAACTCTTGTCCCCTGTAAGCAGTCCTGTGCTTCCAGCACTCCTGTCTTGTCTGCTGGCAAGGGAGAGTACTTGCTTCACTGAGCTCCTTCTGATGTCCTCTCCTCCCTGTCTCTTTACAGCCTGGAGCAGAGCCAGGGCAGACTGATGCTGGGGGAGCAGGTCAGAGGGGAGCACTGGGAAAAGTGGGGCCTGCAGCAGCCAAGCAACCAGACCTGCTGGCAGCATGACAGAGGAGCTGCATGTAGGAAGATAAGGGAGGGAGCAATGGTCTATCTGGAGAACTGAGATTTCAAGCATGGCTCCAAGCACAGATGCACTGGCAGGTGAGGTGCATGCTCCCTGCCGTTTAAACGTTGCTGTCCTCGTTTTTTTTAAGTAAACTGTTCTTCTAAATTAGGTTAAAGCAATTCCATGGTTGTTTTAAACTGCCCTAAATGCAGGCCCCTCTTGGAAGGGAGTAAGTGGCAGTCCTGCTTGCCATTCCTGTAGCAAGAGGGTGGCTCCTTTGTTGTAAGCTAAACCAGGTCCATGACCCAGATGAAAACTAATTTAAGAAAAACTGTATCTGGAGTGTGTTCCTAATAGACCTGGACACCCTTTTTGCTACCATCCTATCTTTTGGACAACCTCTGGGTGGTTTATTCCTCTGGGGAAATGCAGTGCAGGTCAGAGCACTTCTCCTCCGCCTCAGTTCAGGAGTCCTCGTCTTCCTCTTGGACAGGCTCAGGTGCTTGCCATAGGCAAGCAAGTTGGCTCTGGCTGGGGACCCTTCTGATAACCACATGCTTTTCCTGGTTCTACCCCACTTACATGGCTCACAAATGGATCAGACAAACCCTGCTGCTAGTGCAAGAAAGGATTTTATGAGGGCAAAGGGAGAGTGTAACTGCACCAATCATGACTGACATCAACTGAAGTCATGGGCATTTGGCTCCATCCATGAGCATCACCTGGAGTTTATCAGCAGAAGGTCACTTTGGCTGCCATGGGGCTCCCTCTCCATCACTTTGCTTCTCCATGTGAAATGGCAACATTTATCTGCAGGACAGAAGTAATGCTGATGCTCGGGGAAGAGAGGTTTAGACATACATCAAGAACACTAAATGCAGGGGTAAATGTGACAAGACACAAGACTTGCAATAGTGCTAGCCAAAATAATAATATCACAAACTTCTTAGCACAAAGTTTCTTTTAAGCTATCAGCATCTAGTCGATAAATAATGGTATGTGAAGGTCCTACTAAAATATAAGTTTGTGTTTGTATGATTATTGAGAAAATGTTGAAGGCAGGAGTACAAAAATTGACTACAAAAGTATAAAGTGCCCAAATACATTTTAAAACTCTCTCATGAGTTTTAACCCTTGAGAAATCAAAGCTTTCCTAAAAACTTGAATAGTACATACTCAAATAAGAGAAGTCTACCTGAGCAGAATAAAATCCACAAAGTCTTTCTTGATTTTAGCATTGCAAGTTCATTTGTTTTCTTCTCTCATTGTGTAGCTTCATCAGAAAGCTCAAATACTTGAATGCAGCCACTCTTCTTGTCATCACTGAGCTCTAACTGTAAGTCCTGACCTTGTATGAAATATTGCATTCCTTAGAAAGGTGATCATCCTCAGTTTGTGAGCATGATAGGAGTGGTTCTGATAAAGAACAGTTCAAAAAAGTTAACTCAGTGTTTTAAATTTGCTTTTGTGTTTTAATGAACAATTGAATTTCTCATGTTTCCCACCTGCTTCCACACCCACTCCCCCCCAACTCTTATGAATGTAAGTCTGCCTGTTTAAAACACAACAGAGGGTTTCTAAAGATATAGAAAAAGGAAACAATGGTAGAGAAGAATCTCAGGAAATCTCAGGAACAATGAGAAATATTATCTGGTTTAGCATAAGAATCAGTGGGAATTAAGATAGTACTTTAAACAGTCTCACTTTTCCATTTTAACAAGTGAATTATAAATCAATTCTTCCCACAGGCATTGGTTGTAAAGATATGTGTGTGAGCAATGCCTGCAATGCCTGTTAAGAAAAAGAGCAAATTAAAATTGCAGCATAATGGATGCAACTCCAATCCAACTGGAGGATGGGCCTTTTTGAGGTGATTGCTGGGAACACAGCTTCTGTAAAGTTTCACAGCTTCTGCAAAACATGCTTACTCTTTGAGTCAGGCAGCAAATAGCCTCCCCTTCTTGCTGTCCTAAAGCAAAATGGATAGTGTTAAAGGAACATATATCATGCTGGATCCAACTGAATACAAACTACTGCCATGTAATGCAAGGAGTAACTCAAATAGCGACTCTGAATGTGAGCATTAAATTTCTACTGAGAACAGCGAGCACCATGCCCTGATAACCAAAATTAGACATTGGTCTTACTGTGTCTGCTTTTTATGTAGGTGCACAGTTTCTCCAAAAAAGTCTTTGAACTGCTAAAATTCCTCTCTCATTTACAAATTTGTCTATGGTAAGAGCATGGTGCTCAGCCTCTAGAAGGAAGAAGTTTAACAGCAATGAAATTTCATTGCTTTAGTGCTGTCTTCACTGCTTATAAATTACCTCTTGCCTAGGATATTGTTGGTAGTGAAATCTCTCCTTTGCAGCAGTTATTTAATGTTGCTCTCTCTTACGGCCATTTTCAGTTCAAACATCTTGCCTACTACCATCCATCTTCTGCCTCCACCCACTGTCAAGGCATCTGTTTACCTCCTGGTTAGTCAAAATGTCTTCCCCAATCCCCGTGCAAAATTAAACCCCAGGCAGGAAAAACACCACTAGGAATTCCCTAGATTCTCCAAGGGCTGTTAGTACAAGTCAAACATTCCTCCTATAAAATGAGTGAATGAATAAAAATGCTCTTTTTGACTCTGCCTAACAACTGCACTGGACTTGGTAGGAACCACTTGCCAAAATCTACAGGACAGAGAAAAGGAAGATTTTTTTTTTTCCCTCTCCTCCCTCCTACATTCCTGGCTAACGCTTTTAAAATCTGAGTGATGTTGTTCCATGCACATGAAAACAGAGATGTTTTATGCAGAAACTTTCACAAGGTCATTTTAAAAGAGGCCACAGGAAGAGAAGTACAGTGTGTTCTTCCCCACAGAAGATGTGTGTGCCTCTGATCCTGACTCTGCAAGAGTCAGAGCTTTGGTCCAGGCCTGGTTTATTGCCTTGCACATTTATGTGCCAAAGCTCTGCCATAGTCCTGGGGAACGTGGGATGAAATGTTTGTAGCTCCTGGGTGACTTCTCAGTGATGGCTTCGGTGCAAGCCTGATCTCATTTCTGTTCCTTAAAATTGCAGCTTGAAATCCTGGATTTCTTTATGCACCAAATGACAGATGACCCTGAAGCCTGCACACAGCCATCAACTCTGCCAGATAGGTACAGTTCTTACTTCTTCCCATACCTTAAATCCCACTGAAAACTGAGAGAAAGAATCTCTTTCTGTTACCTTTTAAATGTTAGCAACAGAGAAGTAAATTGGCCGCATTGGTCTGTTACCGACTTACCACTGCTGAGAAATACGTGTCTGAACAGCTGTCAAGGCAAAAGCTCAGCTGTGTGAATTATTAAAACCACTTCTCAGCTCACCACTGGTAAGTTTGGAGATAACAGCTAAAA